TGAGAGAAATATTCTATGTGTTGTTAGCAGTCTGTTTGCCACCTTTGGTGGTCAACTAATTGCTTAACACCCCAGTTCATTCTTGTGATTGGTTCCTCAGCTGAGAGATTGGGACTTGAAGAAAAGCCATTGAAGGGTTGAAGACAAAGACCTTGCTTGAAGGCTGTGAAGATAAAGACTGAGGCTTGCTTGAAGCTGGTAGATAGTTGAAGATGACTTGAAGACAGATGTTGGTGCAGAGCTGCTGTTGGCTGTTTATTTTTGCTGTTTATAATTCTTGATGTATTGTGTGAATTTCCCTGACTGTATTGCTTGCTGTTTAACCTGTTAGGTTGAAAGTGAATTCTGTTCACTTTTGCCTGTTGTTTTCTAGGTTCGAGGTTGAGTGGGACTCCCTTGCCTCGCTTGTATTGCTGCATCCATGCATTTTACTGCTTTACTGTATATTTGCTTTTGTTTCTGTTTCCGTTATCCCTTAGGATCTCTGTTTCTCTCTGCGCAAGAGAGAAACATGATAGACATTAGGTCTTAACCCATGCATGATAACATTAGGTTAGTTTGATTTCCCTTTTCAACCATAGGTTAGAGTGCTGTCTCTTCTTTCTCAAAACAAACATAAAAACACAATAATATTTCAAACACAATAAAAGACACTTCTTCCGTAAAAGAATGTGAACTCATCAAAACGTCGTTTTTGTCCGCTTGGACTGCTAATCAGGAAAACCCTTTTTCAGAAGGAATAAAAACAATCAAAACAGACTTGTGTCGTACGTGGCCCGAACTACGTTTGCTCTGATCTTTCATGCTGTATGAAAGTACGTAGGCATAGGATGCGATATCCTAGCGAGCAACCTTCCCCTCCTTCCCCGTAGGTAGGCGAACTACGTTGACTCTGATTTCTCGTTCCAGACGGGAATACGTAGGCATAACGTGCGATACTTTGCCGAGTCATCTTCTTTTCTTTTTAACCCTTAACCCGTAGAGTAGATAGAATAACAATCCATACCAGAAAACAAGCGTGGATCCCGTCGAGTACGGCGGACGTGAGGGGTGCTAATACCTTCCCCTTGCGTAACCGACTCCCGAATCCAGGTTTTGGTTGCGATGACCATACCTTTCCCGTTTTTTGCGAGGTTTACTTCGAGCGTTTCCTTTCCCTCCTGTGGGATAAATAACGCACGGTGGCGACTCTTCTGTTCAGCCGGCGCCGATTTTCGCAGTAGCGACAACAGGAAGACAAACCCTGGGTGGAAATAATAAAAGGTAACCGTCTACCCTCAAATGGAACTGAGATAGATTATATTGCACCTAGGGTTATTAATGGGGAAATATAAGTAGTTATAGAGGAGCAGGACATAGCATCTCAACTAATTTTTTGGGAAAGAATGCGGTTAAGAAGTTTATGATAAACATATGGAATTTTGTAGCTCTCCCAGACCTGTACTACAATGAGAAGGGGTGTTTTATCATCAGGTTCAAAACCAAGATTGATAAGGACCTAGAGCTAAGGATAGGACCATATACAATCTATCACAAACCTATATTTTTATAGGAATGAACACAAGATTTTACACTGGAAAATGATATGTGTAAGGTTCTGCCAATTTGGGTTATCCTACCTCAGCTACCTCTGATCTATGGGGAGATAAGAGTATAGGAAAGATAGCTAGTGCCTTAGGAAAACCACTCATGACAGATGAATGCACGACAAAGAAACTGAGAGTTTCATATGCCAGGGTTTTGATTGAAGTAGACATTACAAGGGAGCTACATGATTCTGTTAGCATAAGGGATCGTTCTGGGAGAAAGTTTACTCAGGAAGTGGAATACGAATGGAGACCACCATACTGCACGAAATGCAAGAAAGTGGGATATGAATGTAAAGAGACCAAACAACAACCACAAAAAGAGAAGAAAAACTAAATGTGGGTTGTAAAGAAACAAGAGGAACCTGAAACAAAAATGGTAACAAGTGCTCACAAAGAAGAAGCAACAAATGAGACAATGGACAAAGAAATAGAAGGCCAACCAGGATGGACAATGGTGGGAGCATCAACAGGAAACAAGATAATTAAAGCTGGAAGAGCCACCTTGGGATGCAGGAATGAATTTGAAGTTCTAGGATATGGAAATAGTTCTGGAAACAATGATGAACCAAAATGATAAGTTGAAACATCAGAGGCCTGAATAAAAGAGCCATACACATTGAGATCAATGCACATATAAAGAAACTCAATGTATCTCTAGCAACTCTTTTAGAAACTAGAGTAAAGAATAACAAGGCTATCAGAATAAGAAAGAGATTTGGCGATGAGTGGAATTGGGCAGATAATTACAATCAACACCAAAATAAGAGGATTTGGATCATGTGGAAAAGGCATCAAATGGATATCAAGGTTCTTGACTCTACTGATCAGTACATCCATTGTGATACTTATGATATGCAGGGCAATTTCACCTTTCACCTAACTGTTGTTTATGCTCAGAACTAAATACAAAGCAGAAGGCAACTGTGGAGTAACGTTAAAGGAAAAGCTAGAGCTATCAATGAGCCTTGGATCATCATGGGTGACTTCAACAATGTCCTCAAAATTAATGACAGAATGGGAGGGAATCTAGTGCAGACGAGTGAATACATTGAGCTTGAAAGGATGATGGTAGAAACATGTTAGTCTGAACATGAATCAAAAGGGAATTACTATACTTGGTCCAATAGACATACATAAGGAGTTATCTATTCCAGAATTGACAGGGTGCTTTGTAATGAAGAGTGGCATTTGAGTTATCCTGAATGTGAAGTTGAGACGCTCAATGCCTATATATATGACCACTCTCCCATCAGATTTAGGAAAATGGGGTACAGGGGGGACGATGCTAGCAAGTATAAAGCCCACTTTAAGTTCCTGAACTGCATAAATAAAAACAATGAGTATATGGGGATTATAGCTGACAATTGGAATCCTATACTGACTGGAGATCCAATGTATGTGGTGTGGTAAAAATTACAAAGGCTTCAAAACCCTTTTAAAAAGCTTATGAAACAAACTACAGAAGGAGTGAAGAAAATACATGAAACTAGAGCTAAACTTGAACAAGCTGAGATCACCTTGAACCAGGACCTGTTTAATACTGAGAATATGGAGAGAATAAAAGAGTTAACAGAAGAGTTGGTCAGAGCTACAGAGTTGGAAGAAAGAATTTTACTCCAAAGATCTAAAATCACATGGTTGCAAGCTGGAGATGGGAATAATGCATAATTCCATGCCACCATCAAAGGAAAAAGGAAGCAGATTGGTATCCACACATTAGAAGATAGATATGGAAGAATTCTAATTGAGCATAAAGAGATTGAAGAGGAGGTCCTTGATTTCTATAAAGCTTTAATTGGTACAAGGGCGTCAAGCAGGATAAAAGTGGACATTGAAGTCCTTAGAAGTGGACCTCAATTGAGGGAGAATCACAGAAAGCTACTGGAGCAACAAGTCACTGATAAAGAAATCTGTGAAGCTCTGCAAGGGATTCGTGACTCAAAAGCCCCAGGTACTGATGGTTACAATGCTAAATTCTTTAAATCTGCCTGGAATGTTATTAAACATGATGTTAGAGAAGCCATTAGGGATTTCTTGGATAAGGATAGATTATACCCTGTTATGAACTGTGCCCTGGTAACTTTGATTCCTAAAACCCTAGTGCCAAAGCTATAAAAGATATGAGACCTATTTCCTGTTGTACCACACTCTATAAAATCATATCCAAAATTCTGACTGCTAGACTGAATAAGGTGATAAATATGGTAGTTGATGAGAGTCAGTTTGCTTTTCTGCCAGGCAAGGTCATACATGATAGTATAATAATTGCCCAAGAGCTTTTAAGAGGTAATAGTAGGAAGCATATTTCCCCTAGATGTGCCATCCAAATGGACATCCAAAAGGCCTATGACACAGTTGAATGAGATGCTTTAAAGTAGATTATGAGAGAGATGAGATTCCCTTCTAGATTCATTAACTGGACCGTGTTATGTGTAACAACTGTTTCTTATAAATACGACATCAATGGAAAACATAACATGTTCATAAAGGCTAAAAGAGGTTTGAGACAAAGGGATCCTATTTCCCCTTGCTCTTTGTCCTAATTATAGATTATCTGCATAGGGTTCTGAGGAGACTTCAAAGACTCCCCAATTTCAACTTTCATCCAAGATGTGATAAGCTCTTGATTACTAACATATGTTTTGCTGATGATATAATTTTGTTTGCTAGAGGTGATCCTATATCTGTGTATTATGATGAAGGAGTTCCATGCCTTCTCTGCAACAACTGGGCTAAAATCCAGTCCATCAAAGTGCAGGGTATACTTTGGAGGAGTTCCAATTTATAGCCAAAAGAAGATCATGGAGGAAACAAATTTCAGTATAGGGAAGATGCCTTTTAAGTTACATTGGGGTACCTCTGGATAGTAAAAAGCTCACTGCCCACCCGTGAAGACCATTGATAGAAAAAAAAATGCTAGAGAGAGTAAACTAATGGTCAGCAAAGCTTCTTAGCTATACAGGTAGGTGTCAACTCATCATAAGTGTGATGTTCTCAATAAAAAATTACTGGCTTCAAGTTTTCTCTCTGCCCAAAAAGGTGTTGCACCAGACTGAGCAGATTTGTAGGTTGTTTTTATGGATGGGGAAAGATAACAAGTCAAAGAAAGCCGTGGTTGCTTGGGATATTGTGTGCAACACAAAGAAGGCTGGTGGTCAAAACATCATCTCCTTGGTTGAATGGAACCAAGCAACCATGGCAAAGTTACTTTGGAATATTCAAAAGAAAGTCGATAAGTTATGGATTAAGTGGATAAATATATACCATATAAAGAATCAGAATGTGATGGATGCTCAAATTTCCAACCAAGCCTCATGGATTTTGAAAAGCATCATAAAAATAAGAGAGAAGATAGCAGATACAAGACATTGGATGGTTGTGCAATAGGGAGCTAAATATAGCACTGCTATAATGTACAAGGAATTGAGAGGTGAAAGAACTAGTGAACCTTGGAGCCATATACTGATTGATAACTATGCCAGACCAAGATCACAATTTATTCTTTGGTTGGCTCTCATGGGCAGACTGTCAACAAATGACAGATTATATAGGTTTGGTATAATAACTGATGAGAAATATCCTTTCTGTGATCAAAAGGAATCTTTAGATCATCTTCTATTTGACTGCAACACTACGGGTAGGATTTGGGAAGATGTTCTGGTGTGGGTTGGTTATAGAAGGCAAGCTAAACCTTGGCAAGAGGATCAAGCTTGGATTTTGCAAGAAGTTAAGAAGAAAGGATGGAGAAGGAGAGTCCTTAAAATGGGCTTGGAAGAAACAGTCTATGAAGTGTGACGACATCGTAACAACATTTGTTTTTGTAACCATACTGATAGCAACGAGAAAAATGTATTTTTGGAAAATATTGTTATTAGATGTGCTACTCATAGGTTGTTAAAGAATATGTTAGTGGTAACACTCATTTGTTTTGGTTAATATAGTTGTTCCAGACTAGCCAAATGGATAGGCACGACCCAATCCACTTCTACACCTAGAACCACCAAATAACCTATGTCCTGTAAGTTAAGGGCAAAAGGAAGCACTTTCTCTTCTGCCCCTCAGCCGAGAAGATTTGGCTAGCTGACCCTCAGAATCAGTTGTCCTTCGTTATATCCCTTCCCGTCACACACAGTTCATCCATCTAGGAATAGCCACGACGCCCTTGCTCGGAACCACGCCCCTGCTCGAAGCAACGACTAGTTCCGAGCATGTCTGCCCGTCTCAACGACTAGTTTCTGCCATTTACCTATTCTTGGGGGTGGGAATATCTCACCCCAAAAATAGGGACTAACGACCAAACTCTGAGGCTTTATAAAACCCTCTCTATTGAGAGGGTCGGGTATTCAATATTCACTCAAATAATCACCCTAAGAAACCTCGAGGCCCATTACCCCATGAGATCATGGCCACTCGACTACCCCTGGGGCTGGAGAAGCCTCCAGACCTAGGCACTTATGATGACACAATAGATCCTGAAGAGCACATCAAGGACATCGATGCCCTGCTCGACTACCGCGACGTCCGAGGCTCCATCAAATGCAAATTGTTCCCGACAACATTGAGGAAGAGAGCAATGTCCTGGTACAAGAGCATCCCCTACGAATCCATTACCTTGTGGAGGCAGTTGGGGAGGATGTTCTTCAAGCATTTCACAGCGTCTCGCCGACACCCGAAGACCGAGGCCTCCCTCGAGGCTATCATCCAAGGAAGGGACGAATCTCTTCTAGCTTACATCAAAAGATTCAACAAAGAAGTCGTTCAGGTCCCCACGACTGATGGCATGAAAAAATATTTGCTAGAGCGCAGACTCCGTCCCTGTAGCGAATTTGCCAAGGCTGTTGGAATCGAAACCCCAACAACACTGAATGCCCTCCTCCTCAATGCTCAAAAAACATCCAGTATAAAGAAAATTAAGCAACCAATGTAACACCCCAAAATTTATTGGAATATTTTTTAATTTATTTAAATAGGAATATTCGTATTTTTGGTGATTTGCAGTGGTTGGTATGAAGTATTGAGAATTATGGATCTTGGGTTATTTATTTAAATAAAGTATATAATATGAATGTATTGGTATTATTATTAATTTATATAAATATAAGTGAATTAAGGGCAAAATGGACATTTGAGGAGGAGTTAGTGAGGGTGAAATTGGAAAGCCCATTTTAAAGCCCAAAGTTAGGTTTAACAAAAAGGAATTTTGAGGGAATTAGAATTCATTCTTGTTAGACCGTGAAAAGAGAAGACATAGAGGCCATAGTTCTGAGGAAGAGGATTGAGGCAAAGCTTCGCGAGGTTTCCAAGAATCAAGGAGAAATTCTTAGAGTCAGCAATTAAGGGAGTATTACCTTCATTGTTTTCAATATATGATTCAATGTATTTAAAGCCGATTTAAGTATTTAGGAGGTTTTTGAGTTTGAGAAAATTAGGCCTTCGTGGCCAAACCTGTTTTTGAGGTTGTTTAAGTATGGGGAGAGTATTGCCTTCATTGTTTTCAATATGTGATTCAATGTATTTAAAGCCAATTTAAGGGTTTTGGGATTTTGAGTATTGAATTGTTGTTGCCTTTCTGGTGATTTTAATGAGTTTGAGGGATTTGAACTGATGGTCTGATAGGTTTGAGGCTGATTTGAGAGTAAGGGAAATTAGGCCTTCGTGGCCAAAATCTGTTGTTGAAGTTTTAACCGTATAGGGTAATTGATTATGAGAACTCTAATGAATGTGGGAAAATTGTAAGGATTTTATGGGAATTGGAGGTGTAAATATGATACGGGATTGGCCTAATAAGTTGTAGATTTTGTGCCTTTATCGCCGTAATACCTTAGGAATGATTAAGGGATGCTTTTGGGACATTGGAGAAGGAAATCATAGGGAATTTTGGGATGGTTTTGCTATTGGTGCATAACAACGGTTTGCTATAATTGCGAGTTCGCACAGCGAACAATCCTTCACACGGCGAACGCTCGCCCCAGACTCGCATGACAAATTGTCCAGCGAACGTAGCAGAGTTTCACGAATTGTGTTCTTGTGCAGTGCTGTCTTGATGCTTTGATGCTGTGATTTTCTGGATGAATTACCTTGAGTATGACTGTGATTCATATGTGATTAATACATGATTGTATGATGATTCCTATGAGTAATGATGATGAGTTATGGTGTTGATTCCATGAGTTTTTGATGATTATATGATGACATGATTATTATGATGATTTTGATGAATGACGATGCACCTAATGAGTTTATTATGAGGATGATATTGACGTGTGCATTATGCATTCATATGCATTCCGGACTTCGGTCTAGTGTTTGATTCTTGTGGCTTCAGTCCCATTGTGCGGATGTGAAGTATTTTGTTGTGCTCCGGTTCTTGTGTAGAATCAATACTATTGATGGGGATTTATGGAGGGTTGATGGCCCAGTGTCCATCGAACTTTGATGAATTGGTACCACATGCATGAGTCTTGTTGCATTTGCATTTATGTGACAATTTGGTGTAATTTATGATATTATGGATTTTTGATGTTTCCTTAATGATTATGATAATGTTGAATACGAAAATGACATTATTTTATATATTGATTCCTATATTGATTATTATGAATCGTTTTACTCACCCTGTCTGTTTGAATGTTGCCTCCACGTGGGTAACGTACAGATGACCAGGTTTAGCCGTGGATGTCGTCGAGGACTTTTTAAAGTTTTTGAATTTTGGTTGACTTAGAGGGTCTTGCTCTGATAGTATAACATCGGGTTGGGGTCTTTGAGTTAAACCATGTTCTATTGATTATTGTTATTTTGATTATGTGCTGCGCAAGGAAAACTTTGGATTTTGCCTTATTGAGTTCCGCTGCCTTTTGAGCAATTTTTGAGTAATTTTGAGAAAACCCGTTGTTTACAGAGCATTTACTTTTATCTGAGTTATTGAGAAATGTACGCCCTTTGAGGTGATTTTTATTGTGTTTAATATTTTACTCTGATAAATGTGATTGATTTGCCATTTTATTTGTGGGGTAGAAAAGGGTGTTACAGCCATCACCGTCCAGGACTCTAGGAACCAGGAGAATTCCAGGTCCTCGAAGCATGATGAAGCCTCGATATCTCGTCGGAGAGATAAGAAATGAAGGGATGACCACCTCGGGAATCCCGAGATCACAAGGGGACATCTGTTCAGTTCCACAAATACCCGCCGCTGACCACCTCACGCAGAAGATTCTCTCCGAGTGCGCAAATTTGGAATTCTGGCAGGCAGAAGTACGTTTCCCAAAGTAGATACCTGCCAGGACAAACACGGATAAAACGAAGTACTGTATATTCCACAAGAGCCATGACCACATGAAGGACGAGTGCATCATCTCAAGGATGCAATTAAGATCTTGATCAGAGACTATCATTTGAAGCAGTTTGCAAGGAAGAAAGATGCTCCTCTACAGGAGGCCCAAGAATCAAATAAAGTTGAGGAAGAAGTGCCATCCTCAGACGACACCAGCCTTCAGGTTGCCATGAGCATCTCGCAGCTAGAAGATTTCTACGTTCCTCCTGATTTTGGGAGGAGGATTCAACAAGGTGACTGTGGGGTCCGTAAAGAGGAAGTTCGAGCATCTCATCAACACAAGCTTGAGCCAAAGCTCTACTCCCATCACCTTCTATCGCAAGTAACTCCTCGACGGATCCCCCAGCTCTAGTATTCCCCTACTCATAAGGGAGAAGATGGCCAACTTCGACATGCGGCGAATCCTAGTTGATCAGGGAAGTTCGGTCGACATTATGTATTTCCAGCTGTTCTCTACACTTCAGCTGGATGAGTCGCACCTGACACTTTACGTTGGCTCTGATCTCCAAGGCTTCAACGATTCAATCACGAAGCCCTGGGTATACGTGGAGCTGATCGTCACATTCGGGGTAGCGGAGACAGTAAGTCCATCAAGGTTCAGTTCCTGGTGATTGACTGTCCATCCCTTTACTAGTGCATCTTCTGATGACCAACGTTGGTGTCACAACTGCAAAAATGGCCGGCGGAAATAAACAGAAGAGTCGCCACTCAACGTTATTTATCCCAAAGAGAGGGAAAGGAAACGATCGAAGAAAACTTAAAAGAAAGGAGAAGACAAGGTCACCGCAACCAAATCTTAGGTTCGAGAGTCGGTTACACAAGAGAAAGGTATGAGCACCCATCACGTCCATTGTACTCAACGAGGTCCATGCTTGTTGTCTAATCAAAGGGTGTGTTATCTAAAAGCTACTGCTAAACGGGGGAGGGAAAAGAAAAAAGTGACTCAATAGGACATCGTCACCCTATGCCTACGTATTCTCTCATGCAATGGGAAAGTCAGAGTCAGCGTAGTTCGGAAAACTACGGGTGATGAGGGGAAGGTTGCTCGCCAAGACATCACCGTCTTGTGGCTACGTATCCTCATCTGGTATGAGAAATTAGAGCAGACACAGTTCGGATAACTAAACCACTGGTTGGTTAAGTGTTTTTTATGAGTGACGCTAAGTTCCCATTCCAGCAGTTAGGGTCGATGCCTGTTTGTGGTAGAACGGAAAAGTAACGTACTCTTTTCTGAAAATGATTTTGAAACAAATCCTGAAGGATAAAAAGGTTTGAATTTGGTTTAAGAGTTTTAGAGAAGTGAATTGAATTTGTTTGAGATTCACATTGCACTAAAGAATATGACATAGGAGCGAATGCGTCGCATATCGCCCAAGGGGCATACACTAAACACTCTAGACAAGTGAGGAGAAACCCCTCACTCATCATTTCCTACATACTTAAGGCTCATAGTTCACAATGTTCA